ACTGTCGTGATATAAACCCTGCATTACCTTAAGGACCCTAACCCATGAGAATTATGGTATATTCCTGGTTATGGGTAATGCAGGATTTATATCATCAACGGTAGTGAGCAGTCATGTTACCCCATCCCCGAATAGAACCCCTTAAAGGGTACTAAAAACTGTACTTATACTTCTTACCTACTTACTGTCCCTTGACCCTCCAAGTAGAGCAAACCCATGTGTAAAGTTCATCAATCAGTGCTGCGCAGTACTTCCTCTGACCCATCCCTTTAAGCCTTGAAATTGGCACCTAAAGCTGTGAACCCACTAAACTGGCAGGATCTAGTGAGTGGTTCGGGTGAGTTTTGTCTTGTGCTGATTCGCTCCATGGTGACCTGGCCATTGCCTCTCGGCCAATGCCTCTCGGGTCCAGGCACGCCCGATTGCTGATCCTACCACCCGAAAGAGTTGCACTCAAGGCTGAAGGACGTCTAGACCCACAAAAAAAAAACTGATCTCGAAAGATTTGCACTCAAGGATGAAGGATGTTTAGACCAACAAGAAATTCATCTCCAAGGCCAGGCAGCCTGTGCCAATGCCCTGTTGGCCACAATGTTATAGTCTCCACCCTGAGAGTGGAATCTACACTACGGTTTCGAGATGCGGCGTCCCGGGTCTAATCCGCAAACCTAAAGCCAAACCGACTGTCACCCTTTCGGCGGGGGTGTAGGGGGCAAATATGCTCAAACACGCTAACCCACAGAGTCCCATATCCCTTAATTAGGGAATATACCTTAAATTATAGTAGGATCCCTAATATGATTTAATGAATATTCCTTAATTAAGGGATATCGGAGTCTCCGAGATTGAAGTCTACATGCTAACATCTCCCTAAACCCTGAGGCTGACGCTAAATAAAGAAAACCTCCCTAGACCCGAAATTTAACCACCTGAAACCTCCCTGAACCCCAAACTTAATTCCCTAAAACCTTGCGAACCACTACAACTCTAAACCCTATAAACACTAAAAAACCCTACAACCTACAGCCTTTTGCCAGTTTGGACCCAGCAGGCTGGCAGTCAGCCAGAATATGAACAAGCCACCCAGAGAGCCCAATACCCCTTAAGCAGGGTGCTTTTGTTTTTTCGGTTTGGGGTTGAGGGTTTAGGGACCCAGAAACCCAATACCCCTTAAGCAGGGTGCTTTTGTTTTTTGTCGGTTTGGGGCTTAGGGGTTAGAGTGTTTAGGGTTATAGGTTTTTCAATACCCCTTAAGTAGGGTGTTTAGGGCTTAGGGTTTTGGGGTGCTTAGGATTAGGGGTTCAACGCTTCACGTTCCTTTTGGGGAGGCTTCGGCTGTAAGATCCCGCGACCTAAAGGTGTTTTGGGCTTTCTGGGCAAGTCTAGTAGCCGTCCTGGGTGTCATCCGCAAGGCAAAAGTAGCCAAAAGTCTGAGTCTCGCTGCTTTAGTTCATGTGTCCAACGTACGAGGACCCACCACATGGCCCTTTAATAGAGCCCTTATGGCCCGTAAGAGTGGGCATTTAGGGGCTGGAAGGGCTAGGTACGTGTCCAATATCTTGGGGAACTAAAGGCTAACCTTTGGGAGGATGTTGGGGTTCTATAGGGATTATGGTACCTCAAAAAGGTCAAAGGTAACCCGTTCTACACACTGCTAGATTCAAAGACTGTAGCGGCTTTTAGTCCCCTTCTTTGTTTAACTAGTGTCTTATGAAGGATGTGTCAATACTTCATAACAGATCAGGGAGAATAGGCGGTGCTATCGGGACTTCGAAGGTTTCAAGGCTTCAGACACCTGGGGATCCGTTTTGGGAGATCCGGAAACTTAAGATAATTAGGTTTTAGAACCCTAAACCTTAAAGGGAACTCCAGAAAGTTGGAATATGGATTAATGGTAGGATCCCGTATAATTTACCTTAAAGGGGTTACGATAATGATGTTCCAACTTTCTGGCTTCTACTTTAGGTTTGGCTTTCGATCTTGGTAGTCCGTCTCAGGTGGGTTGTATGAGGGTTCGCACGGGGAAAGACAGGGTTGAAGGAGTTTACGGCTGTCCTTCGTGCAGGGTATGCACAATATGGGAGTTTCCGAAAATAGGGGACCCTAATATGGTACCCTAAATGGGAAGATCCTTGTTTTAAGGACCCCAAAATAAGGTACCCCGAATTTTCGGAAACTCCCACATTGTCTCCAAGAGCCTTCTGGTTGTTGTGCAGAATTTCGCTTTCTGGGGGATACTTCCCCAAATCATAATACTAATTCCCAATATAGAATCCCTACATTCTACAAGATATACTTTGCACCATATAGAATCCCTGCATTCTACTAGATATACTTTGGACCCTTTGGGTATTTGGGTCCTTGAACTTATGCTCACCCCAAGTTTCTTCGGTGTTGAGCGGCAGAAGCCTTTCACCGCTTCAGGTGTTTACCCTCCAGCAGCAGAGCAGGGACTCTTACCGAAACCTTCGCGGTTAGAGTAAGGATCTAAAAGGGTTTTCGAACTTAAAACAGTGAGCCGTGTTTTTTGTGTGGAGCGGAGCCGTTTCGGCTTCAGCTCTCATTCTAAACGCGGTAAAGTTGAAGTACTCCTCACTACGGCTTTGGGGTCCGTTAAAATAGAAATAGCCTACGGAACTGTACGGAATTATCAGACTACATAATTGCCCTAAACCCTATTGGCCCAGACTTTAGCCCCGGGAACTGTCGCCCATGGATAGCTTTCCACTGACCGGAAACTCGGAAGGCGTTTGCTTTCCATGCGAGGAAAGTCCTGAAGGCTATCTTAGACTACCACATCCTACGTTCTCTGTACGCTCTTACTATGAACCCCAATACAGAAAAGTAGGTTTTGGTAGGTTTAAGATAGTAGCGGGTATCCCCGATTTCGTATTGTGTTCACTGAACCCTAAACCCCTAAACCCCTAAACCCTAAACCCCTAAACCCTTAACCCTAAACCCCTAAACCCTAAACCCCTAAACCCTTAACCCTAAATCCTTAACCCCTTAACCCTAAACCCCTAAACCCCTAAACCCGTAGACCCTTAACCCTAAATCCTTAACCCCCTAAACCCCTAAGCCCTAAACCCCTAAACCCTAAACCCTAAACCCCTAAAGCCCTAAGTCCTGTTGGGGCATCGCCAGGTTTGAGAGATGTGGTCTGAAGCCTTAGCTTTGCTCAAAGGGGAAAAGGACTACCCTATAATGGGCTATATACCCTAAGGCTCCATGTACCCATATAGTGTATACTTCGGCCTTGAAGTACCTATGTAGGGACCCCTTTAAGGCATAAGTATCCACTATAAAGGTACATGGAGCCTTTGGGATAATGGGTATATAATAGCTATATTAAGGGTATATACCTAGGGGTCCTTATTAAGGGTCCCTCCTTGTCCCCTGAGCTTTGCAGCTCTGGGGGCAAACGCTCCCAACTACGGTTGATGAAATAAATCCTGAGGTTCCTTTAATTTAAAGGGATCTATAAGGGTACCTCTAAGGGGTTCAAGGGATCTATAGGGCTTTAGGGTTTAGGGGTTTAGGTTTAGGTTGATGATATAGATCCTGCCCCATAGTTTAGGGTCCTTAAGGTAATGCAGGATTTATATCATGAACAGTAACCCTGGAATCTCTTAGCCAATATCGAAACCCTATAAGACCGTATAAAACCCTCCGAAAACCTGCACTATCGTACACAACCCTTGGCAATATGAGACATACAAAGTTTAGAGAATGCCGTTGAGTGCTTGTCCAAGCCAAAAGCCCTAGACCCAACCTAAACTTAGGACTCTACACTCTCGAGTTAGGCCATGGCTTCCTCCGCAAAAGCTGCCCTCCGTGTACCCGCGCCTGGCAGACAGCTTGAATTCAAGCCAGCCTGGGCATTTGAGAGAGCGTAAGACGGCCTAGGGCCTAGGGTTTACAGGGTTTCGGGTGTTTGGAATTCACAGAGAGAAAGCCCACTATCAGCTAAATAAGGAGTACACGTTAACCTGGGTTGCGCATTAAGGCTTTAAGCCTGCACAACCCAGTTAAAGTTAAGAATAGCCACGAGCAGAATGACTCAAGAACGTGAACCTAAACCGCAGGTTTCTATACCCTCAAATTCAAACCCTGAGCGAACCTTGGGATGCCCCACATCAAACCCTTGTGAAACAAATACCCTAGAGATTTTGCGACATTGATCTACTGATTCCTGGCACATGGATTCTACTACGGTACCAAACGCATCGGCTGGGAGTTCGCTTCCCTGAGCTCTCCAAACTGACTGCCCCCACAAACCCTAAACCCTAACCCCTAAACCCGAAACCCCAAACCCCATTATAGATCCCGTTAAAGGAACCCTTATAGACCCCTTTAAAGGAGCCCTAAACCCTAAAGCCTAGGCCTTCAACCCCTAGCCCTAAACGATCTCGAGACTTGGTTCTTGTGTCCCCAGTAGCCTAGTTGCTGATTGCCAGTTGATAAGCCCAAAAAAGTGTATACTTTAGAAGGGGCCCCCACCCTGTAATAACTGTAACAGTGGAGTAATAGGAATATAACAGGGCCCTAGTATAATCCTCATAGTTACTATCACAGGGTGGGGGCAGCTTCTAATGTATACTTTCAGTTCTATAGGAGATCAAATTATACCAAACAGTGCAAAGTGTGCTCACTCAGCTACTAAGATAACACCTCTACTGCGAATGACCCGACACAAAAAGTTGGACTCGCCGATCCGACAACCCCGCAGCCATCGAAGTTCATAGAAGCCAATGAAACTCGTAAGACGCTATGGATTTTTATTGGGACTGCTCATATGAATCACTACGAACGAGTACTCATCGAAATCACTACGAATACTCAACATGTTGATATCTAGAGCAAAAAACACATTGACAACTTTCTGCAAAGCACCACTACCAAGAAACCTGAAGCACACCACCGTCGTACTAGACTTCCCCCCCGCCCATACCATGAAACAAAACAGTCGAGTGGCCTCTGGCTGAGGTTCGGGCGCCGCGCTACTCTGCACCTGAAACGAACCCTCCATATACAAAAGTGCTTATGTTTAGCTTGAACCTCAGAAATTTGGAACCTAAACCCTAAACTCTACAAACAGATGAACTGTGGATGATTTATGCTGGGATTCCTCCGGCATTCCCTACACTTTAACTTCACGACAGACACGCTGGGGGTTTAGGGTTTGGATCTTTTCTGACTGGCCTAATTTCCAAGAACCCCCAAACCTTCAACCCACAACGTCGGGTGCGTGGGATGCGAAGTCCAGAGCTTCCATGGCCTTAATGATTAGAATAGGGTCCCTTTAAAGGGTTCCTTTACGGGATACTATACTGGTACTATAGTATAGGGGCCTGATGCTTGGCTGACTTCTGAACCCCTCCTAAAACTTACACATTTAGCCCCCTTAGTATAATCCATATAGAAACCCAAAAAGTTGAAAGCCCCAAGAGCCAACCAGAAGAACGCCAAGTATACCTACTAAGTCCCACACGCATCCAAGTACTACTTGGCTACTTGAAGCAAAACCATGCGAGACCCAAGCCGCAGATTGGTTGGGATCGAGAGCCCTACTACTGAGTACTGAGAGGATCATGGGACTTTATAAGCAACGTCATAATTTAGGTACCTATCTAGCGATATTTATATGTACTTATAGCCCTGATTAAGCTGCTTATAACCCGATTTTCTAAAGGCCATGATCCTCTAAATACTTCCTGGCTACTCGACCGAAGATACCGAGCTTCGAACGAAAACAACAAAGACATGGCCTTATCGACAAGAACTGTGCATATCATTTCAGGTTTTTTGGCTCCTTGCAAAAAGTTCCCGTTTGGCTTTACAAGGGTCGCAGAGGGCATCGGTGCAGGGGCTTACGAAATATTTCTTCTTTCGTGCATAGCAGCCCACTAAAGGGAACTCCAGAAAATTGGAATATGGTTTCAGGGTGGGATACCTTATAATTTACCATTATATAAGGGTTTAGGATAATAATTTTCCAACTTTCTGGCTTTTACTTTAGGTACCTGAACCCCAGTTTGCAGAAATCAACTTGAGCAGGGCACTGGGGCTTCCTGTTGAGGTAAATCCCGATAGAAAATAAGTAAAACCTTAGTAGCTGAGTTCCCCTGCCGAAAATTGTACATGTTCAATCACTTTCAGGAGTTCCCCTGCCGAAAAATGTACGTTTTCAGTCACTTTCAGGTTCTGTAAAGTATAGTCTTGTCCCGAGAAATGCAAGGTGTAGTCGCTCAGCTACTAAGAAAAAGGAAATGCTCTGAAGATCCCTCCACTACAGGAGACCACAACCCAACAAGGTACGTCGTCGATGAGACGGAAAATCTCAAAGGGGAAAAGGAGGGACCCTTAATGGGGACCCCTACCCCATAATGGGCTATATAATGGGTATAGAATAGCTAGATTAAGGGTATTTTCCTAGGGGTCCTTATCAAGGGCCCCTCCTTTTACCCTTGGAAAATCGTAGGATCCCTAGAACCCTGTCCCTCCATGCGACGTCCCATTCGCCGCGGCAGTTCGATGCCTGGGCGATGCTGGCCGTGTAGTATCGGCGGCGAGTCAGAGGCCGACTAAGTTGAAGCGACCATGCATCGCCAGAACGTTGCACTGCAAAATACAGACGCAGTCGACGGGGGAAATCCAAATCCTATGTGATCTTGGCTGCGAGGGTACATGGCCAGACAGCCTAGAAGGCAGCGCCGCTGAGCTTCAGTGCCCAATCCGCTCTGGATGAACATTCCTGCATCATGTGTGCTACCCATAGGCCCCAAAGTAGTTCCTTTTTGGGATTACCTAATAGAATTCTATATATGAACCCCAAAAAGGAACTACTTTGGGGCCTTTGGGTATGCCCTTTGGCAGATGTGTCAGCGTCCGCCGCGTCAAGCTCCACAAGAGTCGAAGTCACCAAAATGGCCACAGAATTGTTCACTACTTGGAGGATCATGGGACTTAGTAAGTAGGGTTACAAGTTATAGGTACCTAATTAGGGTTATAACCCTACTTACTAAGTCCCATGATCCTCTAAGTATAGCGAACCAGCCACAAACCTGATCCAGGTCTTCGTGGCTGTGTCCGCTGCGTAGTGCTGTGCGCTGGATAGTGCTGTGCTCGGGGTTGAGGGTTTCGGCGTTTAGGGGCATAAGGGTCCAGACCCTGAATCAAATCCCAGTCGAGGTCTGAAAAGCCCTAACCCCGAAGCGCGCGCCTACAACTTCAAACCGGTTTGGGGTTTAGTGTGTAGGGTTTCGGGTTTAGGGTTTAGGATGTAGGGTGTAAGGCTTAGGGAGTCAGAACAACCACCAAAACCTGCAGCCTGGACCCCGAAAGCCTAAAACCTACAACCCAAACCCTAAAACTGTATAAGGTTCTTGGATCCAGGTCTGGGATGGCGCTTTCAAGCATCACTCAGGCAATTGCTGCCTAGCCGAAAATAGCCCCGAGAGTGCCCTGAGAAGAACTTTTGAAGATTCAAGGCACTATGGCCCCAATATTAAACCCGAAACCCAAAACCCTTTGAGCCCACACCCCCAAACCCCGAACCCTATCAGTAGCCCTAAACCCTGGACACGCTGTGCCCTAAACCCCATAAGCCCCATGCAAACCTCATGCCAGTTGAGCCAGATAAGCCACTATCCCCGCAAGGCTACTGATGTGACTACTACTCATACTAGTAACTAGTAACTCAATTCAACCCCTAAGATTCACCAACCCTAAACCCAAGGCCAGTTGAGCCCTCTACCCGAGATAACCTACTCTAGACCTAAGAGAAGCCTAGGAATAAAAAGGGTGCCCTTTTTGGTTTAAAGGGGTTTATAAGGGAACCCAAACCCTAAAAAAGGGAATAAGGGCCTATTCTGGGTCCTCGCCTACTAAGCCTGGATCCTCTCCTCTATATTCCTTAAAGAACGCCCTACAGAAAACCCTTAAAGGAAGCCATAAAGGAGCCCTGGTTTCTGAGTCCCTCGAAGTAGACCCGAACCCCTAAACCCTGTTGGCAGCGCCTATGAGATGCGATCCTACGCACTCTTTTCCTGATGGCCGTAAAAGTGCCTGCGATCACTGACAAGTGAACATGTTCCTGCATCTGTGCTCCGACAGACACTCTGAAAACAACACTCCTATCAAATCTCTACAGAGTGTTGTATCGAAAGAAGAAGAACAGCATCCTCGCTGTTTGAGGCTTGTGTGGAAAGCCGTGCCCTCATAGATCTGGCCCGGATTCAGAACCTCAGGGGGAGCGCATCGAGCGGCGCCAGTAGGAAGAGGTAGTCGAGGAACCGGAAGGGCTGCCACTGCGTCGTGGCAGGTTTCCCTGATCACGGCGTGCGATCAAGTACTGAGCCAGATCGCGAAGTTGATCACCACCAGACTTGGCGCGAGGCATGCTCCAGTCAATGTACGAACGGGTTTCGTCGGTGTCGGCATTCACCAGGTCGGCGTAGGTCCAATTGCGGCTGCGAAACTTGCCGAAGCTGATGATCGTTCTGCCCCAATCCTCCATCGAGTTGATGTCGGTGGGCATGCCAGCGACACGGCCGACCGGAAATGGCGGCGGCGGCCCGGCTGGGGCCGAGGTTCTGGCGCCAGCACATCCGCGGGTAGCTGTCGTGGAGAGTCCACGAGCCGGGGAAGCCGTAGGAGGCGGAGTCGGTGGACGATACCCACGTCCTGGAGTCCCAGGACCCACACCAGCAGAGGCCACCATAGTCGTCGACGAGGTGTTCCCGGTGTCGACGGAGCGCTGTCGCTTCGAGGAGTCATTCATGGCGCCACCAGAGGTAGAGGGAGGAGGTGCGATGTTGTGGTAGGCTCGGAACTGCTCGCAGACGAGGTGCCACGTACCATCCTCCTGGCGGAGGCTCCTTTCCGTACGGAAGCCCGCCAGGGCCTCATCCCAAATCTTCTCGGCATCGCCCAAAAGCATTGCACGACACATCAAGCTCACAGCCTTCTCACGATCCTCGGCGGTGAACGGAACCGCCATGTTGATCAAGGCATCGAACTCCTCGATGGGGTCGTTGTAGCGGATGGCAGCCATGGTATCGGAAGGGCAAGGACTGCACCGTAGCAGTCAAAGCAAGGCACGGGGAGCTTGGACAAGCTCGCACACACACATGGAAACATGTTCTCATCACAGTGCTGTACACCCGGCAGGCAACATAAACAACCAGCTAAGACAAACCCCTATCTTAGCACCCTGGTTTGGGCTCGCATTTGCGTCGGGCTCTTTCGTTTGCTCGCCAGTCGAGCACATTGTCCTCATCACTGATTTGGTAATTACCAACGCGAATGCAAGCTCTCAAGAGGTCCATTGCTTCTATGCTTTCCTTAGTCATTGCATCAGCCAGCATGCGGTCGGTTGGAATCCAGCGCAGGTTGGCCCTCATCTTTGCTAGGCTGTCTTTTACAATGACAACATCCAAGGCAGTGCGCTTATCATCTAGGGTCGGGGACGACTTGGAATTAAGGTGGTCATACAAGGACTTACCGTCAGTCAAAACAATGCTGCAACGATCGGAGGCTCGGGCCCAGCAGTTCCTAAGATTCTGAGGTCCGTCCAGCGCTTCTGACAAAAGGAGAAGGATCCACTCCAGCATTCCGGAAGCAGCTGACATAGCCTGTGCCTCTGCACTAAGGGTGGAATTTACAACCCGAGGGAGCCTATAACTACGTCAATAGGCTGGGGTCCAGGTCTGAACAGTACCTTCATTCATTGACTTGTGGGTGAATGACACAAGGTAGCCCGCTTGGGTGGCTCCATCACGGCCGTTGGCATAGGCTGCATCAGAGTGACACATGACAGCTAGTTCCTGCGGCGGCACGGGCTGGAAGACAATTGGTAGCTGAGCATTCAATCGAGCCCGACGAATAGCATTGTTGGCCGCTGCAGCATCGGCAACCGTCGGCTCCGGAAAGGATTGCTGCGAAAAGGAAACTTGCGTAGACAGATCCGGACGTGACTGTGTCGCAAGCCAGTTCAACCCTCCATTGATG